TCTGCCACAAAACAGAAGGAATAGTGAAAATGATTATACTCCTTCAGGGATTGTACCACTCCCTACATAGCTAATTCATCCTTACCAGATTTGACTTATCTTGTAGGCTCATTATATTTTTAGCCTTTAAAATGGACAGTGTTGTACAAAACAACAAGTATTTAAAATATATTTTCAGAAAGAACATCCAGGTTTACACAGTCCCTTACCTTTTCTTCCTGTGAAAGCAGGTAACCTTTATTCATGGGCCTTGTCACAGATTAAGCTATTGCTAGCTTATTAATGGCTGCTCTGCAAACAGATGGGCAACTTCAGAGTGTAGGAGTGTTATTCTGACAACTTTCACTACTGCTACATTGACATTTAATAATCAAAAAGGGAGCAAAGCATTTATGTCTTCACCAAATAAAGGGGGAATTACTGTAGAATTAGCTTTGGAATAAAACCTGTCTGTTCACACATACACACAAAATGTAAACACTTGGCACCACTCCTCAAAGATGTCAGTGCCACTGTGAAAATCACCGAGTGATCTGTACAACTGTGGAGAGTGAGTTGGTGCACCAGCTTTCAGCATGCTTTCCACCTGTTTGTATTACAAAGGCAATATCTTTGAGACGCTCGTATCCATGTTACAAATATTGTATGTATCTTTGCGTGTGTGTGTTCTCTATTCCTTGTCCACCTCAGATGTGTGGGAATTCTTGCAAGTATGACAACCTTAGTGTGCATGCAGACAGCTGTGCATTATTGTTTTCTCGGTAATGATTTTCTCCTGAATAAATGTCCTGGGATTTGTGAACACGGTCTATCCACTAGTAAACCCTGTCATTGTCTCTGGGGGATAATAGGACTGCGTGTGCTCAAGTAACTTCCGATTTGCTAAGGTTATCTGGGACAGGGTGCTGACCAGGAAATGCTGAGCCAGTCCCCTGTCACTAGCCTCAGTTTAGGGAGGTGTGGAGGAGGTGGAACAGCTGCCAGCCTGGGGCTATATATAGGTCCTGAGGAAGGAAGCAAAGGGTGAAGAAGTCAGAGCATGGAAGGAGAGGGGTAGCTTTCCCCTCTAGGCTGCCAGAAAGAGAAGCCCCAAAGGCTGGAACCAGCGTTATGTGGTGAGAGGTGGGGCAAGGGGGTTGACTGTGTAAAAAAACTGCACTAGTTACTGCTCAGCCAGAAGGCCTCTGAGTGATTTTTGGAGCAGAGGCAAGACAAAGAGGGACCCTGATATGCTCTATAGTCTATTACATTATCACAGTGAAGGGCAGGAGGAGGAATCTCAGCCTAAATTCCCAATCTGGGGGAATGCATGCAAATTCTCAACTAAAGAAAAGTGATGACTAGAAGTATGAAGGAGTCAGAGGTGCAGTTACTCCAGAACTGTGACAAACTCATTCTAGCTAATATACTCTTTAATCTCAGATTTTATTTGCCTTAATCATCTCTGCCTTCTGCTCCAAAGATCATTTAACCTCAGAGAATTATTCTATAAAAAGAAAACACCCTCAAGTTAGCACTACAGAAAGTAAAAGAAGTTGAATCAAGAATAGAAATGTACCACATTACTGGATTTCACCAGATGGTGCTATTGCTAATGGTTGTTGTGTGCTGTTTATCTGAATGTTCAGGTGATAGTGCCTTAAGAAATGCTTGTTGTCAGTTGTGATGCAGCATTTTTGGTCTTGAATTTATTACCAGTAAAGTCGGTTCTATCTATATGATGCTAAAGAAATAGTCTTAAATGTAGATACTGTCTATAGGTTACAGTTACGCTAGAAAACAAAACTTTTAATGGAGCTGAAACATTGCAATGTGAAGTAACTAAAAGAAGGGCAATATAGTAAATCATAGATAGTGATAATCTGAGACCAATTTGACAATTGTACTGACTACTAACACAGTAATATCCCACGTCATCTCCTCTGAAGACATAGGCACTGTGCTCGATGCATCAGTCCTTTTTTTATTCTTAATATATACAAAATGAGTCTAATGCAATATAATATAACTTTGTGTATCCATGTCCATCTTGGATGTGTGGGAATTCTTGAAAGCATGCATGAATAATAATCTCTTTTTTTCTAGCAGCAAAAAAGAAGGACAAATTTTAATCAGTATAACTGTAGAAAATTACATTTTATAACTTCAAAGGTTATAGTCTCTTAATTTTTAACTGCATCCTACAGTTTTCATGGAGAAGCTTTCCCATTATGACCTTATTAGCATGAAGGGAATCAACCTTTATGCTAAACAGAAATGGTACAATCATTAGGCCTAAACAAATTGGTTAGCTCCACAGTTTAAGATGTAGTTTGTTGAGGAAAATGTTTGTTCTAGAAATAGGACACTTTGTCCAGTGACTGAAGGAATAAACACTAAGGCTGCGTCTAGACTAGCATGATTTTGCGGAAATACTTTTAACAGAAAAGTTTTTCCGTTAAAAGTATTTCCGCAAAAGAGCGTCTAGATTGGCACGGATGCTTTTGCGCAAAAGCATCCGTGCCCAGTATAGACACGCTTTTGCGCAAGAAAGCTCCGATGGCCATTTTAGCAATCGGGCTTTCTTGTGCAAAAAATTAAGGTTCCCGTCTACACTGGCCCTCTTGCGCAAGTATTCTTGCGCATGAGGGCTTATCCCTGAGTGGGAGCGTCAAAGTATTCGTGCAAGAAGCACTGAATTCTTACATTAGAACGTCAGTGCTCTTGCGCAAATTCTCGCAGCCAGAGTAGACAGGCGGCAAGTTTTTGCGCAAAAGCTACTACTTTTGCGCAAAATCTTGCCAGTCTAGATGCACCCTAAGGGTATGTCTACTCTGCAACACCATTTTGAAATAACTAGCAGTATTCCGAAATAACTTAGTTTGCATCTACACAGCAGGCAGTTATTTTGAAATAGTGTCAAAATACTGACAAGCTGAAGGACTTCTTACTCCAACTCCTGTAACCCTCATTGTACGAGGAATAAGGGAAGTCAGAGGAAGAATGCTGTATTTCTAAATAAGTGCTGTGTAGACTCTCCCTACTTTGAAATAAGATACGCAATTGACCAAAGAGGCTACTTGAGCCAAACAGTGATCCTGCAAAAATCTGGATATTCAAACCTAGCAAAGCCAATAATTAGGATAATGAATTACAGCAGGCATATATAGAAAATTAGATGGGGAACATGAAGAGCAAATAGCTAAAAATGTAAAAGCTATCAACAAGAGATTATTTAAACATAACAGAAGCGAGAAACCTACAACAGAATTGATGGGTTTACTGGATCAAGGGGGGTCTGAAGAGATCAGTCAATGAAAATAATGACACTGCTGAGAAATCTATTTGATCTGAGGAAGTGGGTCTGGCCCACGAAAGCTCATCATCTAATAAACCATCTTGTTAGTCTTTAAAGTGCTACATTGTCCTGCATTTTGCGAGAAATTAAGGGACTTTGACAATAGTTACAGAGCTATGGGGGAGATCCTTGCTATAGACTTGCTCTTTTAAAACATAAGAACATGGCCATACTGGGTCAGACCAAAGGCCCATCCAGCCCAGTATCCTGTCTGCCGACAGTGTCCAATGCCAGATGCCCCAAAGGGAGTGAACTGAACAGGTAATGATTAAGCCATCTCTCTCCTGGTGTTGATCTCCACCCTCTGACAAACAGAAGCTAGGGACACCATTCCTTACTCATACTGGCTAATAGCCATTAATGGACTTGACCGCCAGGAATTTATCTAGTTCTCTTTTAAACTCTGTTATAGTCTTAGCCTTCCCAACCTCCTCAGGCAAGTAGTTCCACAGATTGACTATGTGCTGTGTGAAGAAGAACGTCCTTTTATTTGTTTTCTGCAAATAAAGAGAAGGTTCTCTCCAAAGTGAGGAACTGGAGAGAATGTGCATCCATTGTGAAGGAACTCAAGTATGTAGTAGCTGAGCTGCTAACAAAAATACACAGTTTCTTTAACAATAGCTACTGTATATGTTGTACCTATATTTTAAGAAGTGATCCAAGTGATCCAACAAGTTAGCATTATATCTGTATCTGGCAAATGATTGAAATTATTCCTTAAAATAGATGGAATGTCATGATAGGATCGGGTATAATTAGCACAGTTTCAGAAACGGAAAACCATGTTTTGCTAATCTTTATGAATTCTTTGATCTTTCAAAGCAATGGATAAAGTAATATTGGTTGACATTTATTTAGACTTTCAAAACACCTTTGACAAAGTCCCTCACAGGAATAGACCAAAGAAACTAAGTTGTCATGGATAAAAATTGGCTATGAGACCAAAAAAAAGAGAAGAATCTTTGCCATGATGAAAACTGCCATATAATTAAGTGTGAGTGGCTCAAGGTACCATACTAGATCCAAACTTTAATATAATTTATTAATAATCTGGAAAAGGGGTGAGGAGTGAGAGATTGCTACAGATGACATAATGATTTAAGTCAGTCAAGACCAGACAGGACTGTGAGGAACTTAGAGAAATCTAGTTAAGCTAGGTGAATGGACAACATGATATCAAATGACAATTCAGTGATGATAAATGTGAGGTAAAGTACATTGGAGGGAAAAATTTAAACAGCACATATACCTGTCAAGGTTCTAAATTCACGGAGACAACTTCTGAAAAGGACCTGAGTGCCATATGCAGCGGTGGACAAAAAAGGAGACATTACAATGCATAGGGAAAATATTACAATGACATTTATAAAAATTAAAGCTGTGTCCTGATCTGAAACACTGTGCACACGACTGATCACACCATTTCAAACAGAATAGTGCAGAATGAGAGGGTGCTCATCTGTGTAAATGATTGGTGGTCTAGAAATACTCTCCTATGATAGTATACAAAGATTGGAGTTGTTTATCTTGGAAAGGTGATGAATAACAGGGGACTTGATAAAAGTATTTAAAATAATGAATAGTCTAGAAAAGGTAGATTGAGAGCGTTTATTCTCCTTACCTCATAAGAAAGAAAACAAAGGGCGATTTGATAAGAGAGATTCTTATTTTTATTAAAATTTTGTGTCCTTAGGTTTACCTGCATGATATTCTTCCAGACTATATAGAGCTGACTCAAAATGGACTCTTAGGAAGAACATGCAGGAAATGAAACAATGGCTGGAGATAAAACACCTGAAGGATAAACAATTTCAAGAGAGTAAGAACAATACTAGGTTCAGAGGGGTAGCTGTGTTAGTCTATAACAGGACTATTCAACTTTGGAGGCCCCAGGGACCACGACGATACTCATAGCACATACCGAGGGCTGCAACTTAAGTGTGGTTGCATATATTTGCAAATATATATGCAAATAGCTTCTTTCACACTGACGGGCATGAATACAAAGATTAAGGCAAGACTACACAACGCACAGGCCCCATTTACGTCAGTTCTGCTGATATTCATAAAATGCAATATTTATCCAATTTACACCCATATGACAGCACTTTTAATGAGCAATGGTAGTCCAGGAATTTAACTACTAAAACACATATCAACAGAAGACCATTATATTGACTACTTCTTTGTTTTGGCTACCACCTGTGGGCCGCACACAGACGGGCCTTTTGTTGAGTAGGCCTGGTCTATAACTTTAAAAACGAGTAGTCCTGTGGTACCATAGGCCATGTCTACACTATAGATAAACTTGAAGCAGCTGCAGTCAATCTTCCAGGGTTCAAATTAGCAGGTCTAATGAGGCCACACTAATTCAAATTGAGAGCGTGCTCCCGTCAATGCCTGCTTCTATGAAGAGCAAGAGAAGTCGAAGGGAGAGTGTGCTCCCTTTGGCTTTCTACAGTGTGGATAGTGCCAAAATTTGAGTTAAGATACTTTGACTTAAGTTACACAATTAACATAGCTGAAGTTGCATATCTTAATTCAAACTTATCCCCTAGTATAGATAAGGGTATAGAGACTAACAAAAAATATATGTAGTATCATGTGCTTTCATGGGCAAAACCCACTTCATCAGCATCTCATCTGACGAAGTAGGTTTTGCCCACGAAAGCTCATGGTACTATATATATATTTGTTAGTCTCTAAGGCACCACAGGATTACTCATTTTTATCAATGGTAGGGACATTAACTGGGAAGGTGCTATTTTTAGGCATCAAGCAGAGTTAGCTGGCTGGCTTGTCAAAGGAGAGGACCTTAGATTAGAAAGTCACTAATTAAAAACTCTCTGTAGAGAAGGAGCAGGGTTCAGTTGTCAGGGCCAACTTGTGGAGGGCAGATCAGTTTCTCTAATATTGTAATTAAAAAAACCATGGGACAGAGACAAACCTCTGATGTCCCCCCTATAGATGTGCATCTCTGGTGGTGAGTCCCTTCTCCCCCATCATTGGGGAGGGTGCTCTAGCTCTGGGCACTGCAGAGAACTCAGGATCTTAGGCACCAGCCTGGGCAGCTGCTGTAGCTCCTATTCAGGCTCCTGTAGAGTAATATCCTATAGCTCAGTGGCAGGTCAGATCTAAGTAGTGTAATTTTGAATGGTATTGAAGCAACCTGGTTCATGGGATTGCAATGCCATTCAAATCTGACCCAGCCGCTTCTCCATCAGTAATTTGAGTGGTGTTGTAACCCTGTGTGCCAGGTCAAGTCAACAAACAGCAGCATTTTGCAAAATGAAGTGCTGGAGTGCTGCTCTATCCTGGATTTCAGGGGATAGAACGATGCTTCAGACTGCACCGGTAGCACTGCCAAAACTGCCTCCTGGTTGGAATATGGGACAAAAGGTGTCCCATATTTAATACAAGCCAAGACATTTTTTAAAAAAATAAGGCCATCCCTTATACTATGAGGCAGCTGGCAACCCAAGGCAATTTCTATATACACACTGGCAGGACTGACCTTCCTTTAAAATAGAAGTGGGGAACTTTTTTGGGGTCAGGAGCTGCTGACCCACATAAAAATCAGTCAGGGGCTGCACATAAGTGAGAAGCAAAAAACCCCAAACCCTTCAGTGAGATGGCCCCTGATAGAGAAGGAGAAAGACACTCCCCACATTTCCCCTGTACACCAAAGCCTTAGGGGGCCCAGGCTAGTAGATTTTGTGTGCTCCAGCCTCATGGGAGGGGGAGGCTGGAGCATCAATGCAGGCTCCCCAGTACTAGGAGGAGCCCTGAACTTCAGGGGCTGAATCCAGCCCTTGGGTCTCATATTCACCAACCCTGCTTTAAAAGGCCTACCCCGACACAACAACTTAATAACATCTTCACCATCAGCTAAAGATACAGCACCATCTACTGGTGGAGGTGCTGTCTGCATTGATCATCACAGATTCTTAAGAAGCCTAGCGCCTATGAAGGCTAAGGAGAAATAACCCATTATAAAAAGTACATGAGATCAAGCTGAAATGGAATCTACAGATGCTATTAAGATTAATAGTCTTAAAATATATTTCTAAAGATCTTATACTTATATGCGTAACATTACCATAATATCTATTCCCTCATAATCATTAATACATTTATCCTCATTCATATCCATATGAAGTAGGAAAGTACTACTATCCCCATTTTATGTATATGGGGAATGGAGGCACAAAGGCCCAGATGAAAGTTAGGAATCATATCTTTGTGGATCTGGGTCAAAAAAATCAAGACTTTCAGATTCATAAAGGCACCAGATTTATGCTCCACTGAGCTTTACAAAACTCCCACTGGATGCTCTAGGTGTCTAAATCCACTTAATCACTAGAGCTACGTCTACACTGCAGAGTTTTTGTGCAAAAATGGCCAATTTTGTGCAAAAACTCATGGAGCGTCCACACTACACGCACGTTTTTGCGCAACAAAAAGTACAGAAGATCTTCAGAAGACAGGACTTTTTGTGCAAGAGTTATTCCTCTTTCTATGAAGAATAAACCTTTTTGTGCAAGAACTCTTCTGCAAAAAGATGTTTGTGGAAGGGCAACAGGGGTTTCTTGAGCAAGAAACCCCTATTGGAAAAAGCACAGGTGCTCTGATGGCCATTCTGTGAATGTCAATCAGAGCTTTCTTGTGCAAGAGCATCCATGGCAGTGTGGACGCTCTTTTTGTGCAAAAGTACATCTCTTGTGCAAAAGCAAATGGCAGTGTGTACACATTCTTGCACAAGAACTTTTTGCAGAAGATCTCTTCTGCAAAAAGTTCTTGCACAAGAAGTCTGCAGTGTAGACATAGCCTAAATGTTCAAGGTAGTAGTTCCCTTGTTGGCTTAAATTTTTGCTTCTGGGCATGTGCACAATCAGGGAAAGTAAGAGCCTAATGCGGGGTGGCCTGATCTGGTATGTGTGCTCAGAGACCACCCACTGAATCAGGCCAAATTTTGAATGGTACCCGAGGAACAGGAGCGGCTTGAGGCAGGCTGCGGCAGCTGGCGCCCCAGGTGGAATGCGCGATCGGCGCCCCCACCTGCAGGGCTGTCAATGGACTGACATCATCATCGGGTGCCATGGGCATCCCATTGAAGGCGGCGCCCGAATCTGCCTATAGTCACAGGCCGCCTCTCCTGAGGAGAGGCATTGGTGCCCATTTTATAACTGTTAGTCCACTCACGTTAGAGAAAGGACAACTAGCTTCAATCTCACCCCCCAATTTGCTAAGGTGGAAGATTTTGAACAGCCGTGTCTTATCTCTTAAGAGCATGGGCTAGCCACTGAGTTACAGGATATTCTTGGAGGGTTGAATGCTGTGTCTTTCTACTCCCAAGAGGGTTCTCTAATCACCTTGGCTATGTCTAGACCTTTTGGGGCTGCTGGGCACCCGGGGGGTGGGCTGCCGGGGACAGAGCTGCTTACACACCATGCTTCCGGGGGCGGGGCCATGCATGCACCACACACCCGGTGGCGGGGCCGCCCACACGCCACGTGCCCGGGGCCGTCACTGTGCATGTGCCGTGCACCCAGGGCAGGGGCCGCCCACGTGCCCTGGGCAGGGGCCTCCCATGCGCCACGCGCCTGGGGCTGGCACCGTGCATGTGCTGTGCACCGGGGGCAGGGCTGGCCCAGATGATTTGGCAGGTGCACATTGGAAGAGG